GCCTCGGACGAAGACGCACCAAACAGGGAGACCGCCACCTTTTCCGGCAAGCAAGCCTGATCAAGGATGTCGGCCAGTGAATGCCGAGCCCGGGAGGCGGCCATCGGCATCGGGGATTCCCCCGGGGCCGATGTCGCACTGTCCGGCCGGCTGGTCGGGGCAATGGCCGGGCCGTAGGCATTTCTGGCGCGCCCTTGCGAGCCCGAGGATCGCTCCGGATCATTGAGCGCCAGGTCGGAAAGGGAGCTGGAAAGGAAGGACTCCGTCGGACGGCCTTCGAGGATGCCCGAGCGCAGGGCCTCGGACGACTGGCTAGATACCAGATCCAGGGTTGCCAGCATCTGTGAGGATGTTGACAGCAGGGCAGACTCCGAGGGCGAGATGTCACTGGAGCTGCTGCGGCCCGGTGGCGAGGGGGTGCGCTGCCGGAAACTGCCGCAGCCGCATGGGCTCGGGGAGTTGCCGGCGGCCGGGGCCCCACGTTGGGCCCCGCCAAAGCGTCCCGAAAGTAGGGTGGGATAAAAGTGGTCGCTCGAGGCCTCGGCCGAGGATGGAGGCTGGTCATTCAGCCACAAGCGCAGGGCGCGAAAATGTTGCTCAGCTCGAAGCTTCAGCCGCAGCGGCACTGTCGAGGGGTAGTGCGATTCGTAGGGCAATACCAGGAGAGGCTCCCGGTGCTGGGCGATGAGGAAGCACTCGTCGGCTGATGGAAGGGCAATGCAAGGATGCCATCAGTGTCAATGGCCCGGTCATGATGGCGCGGCGGGAATGGCAGGAAGGATGCAGATCTACCCTCAAGGAAAATGGGCTCGCCCTTGCGCAGCAGGCGCCCAGGCCACGCTCCATGCTGGTCATCTTCCATCCTGTGAGGCGAGCCGGGGCCGAATCGGGCGATGGAGGATGGGCGGGGCGCGGGGCGTGGCGGACCGGGGGAGCTGCAAGGCCATCAAGCAGGAGGATGGGCGAGGGCTCAACAAGGGCCTCTCCGTCTCGCGGAGGGGGAATCCGGCGAGCGGGGGGGGGGAACGGGGGTTAGGCGATCCGGCTAATGCCTTCCCTCTCGGGTCAAGGTGTGCAGCAGAGAAGCAGGGCGGTGGGTGTGTGTCTGATGGAAGAGGGCGGGGGGGGGGGGGGTGTTTGTTCGTGCTCGGTGCGCGCCGCACCCGGTATGGTGGCCGCACAAAAACCCACAACTCTCCAACTGGCTCAGTTAATGGCCCACTCCCACATCATCGGCCACGTGATGTGCATGGTCATCCGGAGATTATCCCGTCTATGCCAGGGCTGGGCCAATGCGGCGGCGCCTGGCGACAGAGGATGGCGGGGGGGGGGTGGGGACGATTCTCCCTGCCAAGCGTGTGTATGTTGTTTTTTTCCCTCCGTCTTCCTTGTGCCGGCTCTCCGCCCCCTCTCGAAAGGGTGCATCCATGCACGCACCGCCGGCCTCCTCTCCCTGCGGCCTTCCCCTGGCTCGGTTGCGCCGATGCTCGATGCCTCGACGGCTCTTCTGGGAAGTTAGGACGTGTATTAGGTATTTGAAAGGCGACCATGCTGGGCAGGAAGAGGAGCAGAGACACGGCCAGCGGGCGCTGAGAGGAGGCCGCGGCAATATGTGCGTGTTTGTGTTTGTGTGTGTGTGTGTCTGCGTGCGTGCGTGCGTGCACGTATATGATGGAGAGAGGGGAGAGATCGCTGCGCACACACAAACACACACACGTGTGTGTTTGTGCGTGTGTACGATGCGCCTCAGCGACTCCATCGCCCGCCCAGCCTGGAGGGGGATGCGGCGCGGCTGGCCATGACTTACTGAGAGGAGGAGATCTTGGGAGCCTCGCCGGTGCGCTGGCCATCGAAGAACTGGGTCAGGAAACCACCGCGGGCAGGGTCGATGACCACCTCCGAGGGGCGCTCGAAGAAGCGCATGATGTTGGTCTTCTGGTTCCAGATGTTCATGGTCTAATCCGTGGGGAGAGTGGGTGAGAGCGTGGGGCGGGCACACCCCGCCTCTGAGTCAGATCTCACCTTCAGGCAGCAGAGCAACAGACAGCATTGAGCACAAGGAGGGCGCATGGGAGGGAGCGAAGCACGAACCTCCTCAAGGTGGAGCTGACCCTTGTAAACGAGCAGAGCGCGGGCCGGGACGTCAGTGACGTAGTTGACACGGTCGAACTCCTCGCGGATCTTGGCGCGCATGTAGGGAAGGGGCATGTCCAGCTCGTAGATCTTGGCGATGAGAGGGAGCTGCATGTACAGCAGGGAGGAGGGGAGGGGAAGGGAGGGGGCGAGTGTCAGCACCGCTATTGTGGTGGGAAAAGGGGGTTGGGGAAGGGGCCTTGGTGAAAGCCGCGAGAAGAAGCCGCTTGTGGCAGCGGGGCCCGTACGTTGCGGTTCCAGTTGCGGTACAGAGTGCGGGCGGCCGCGGACACCTCGGCGGCGGTGGCGGTGCCGGGGTTGATCATGACCTGGACAAAGCGGTTGGACATGGTTGTAATAGCGATGGGGCGAGAGCGTTCCGACCAAAACCTGATGGCAGCGCGGCGGGTCAGTGGAAGTGACAGGGGCTGGAGGAGGAGGAGGAAGAGGAATTATGG